CTGAGTAGTCAGTGGGGCTGGTTCAAAGCAACTCACCTGAAGCTCTTCTTGGTAAAAATTTGTCAGTGACTCTTTGAGGATCTTTAGTTTCTCTTCATACATTTCCTCTAATAGTTCCTTTTGGGTATCCAAATGTTCACTATCATAAAGAAAAGAGAAATGAGTGAAGATTCTGAGAAGTGAGCTTACAGGACAGATCTTGAGGCACAACTCTGTCCTAGTCCCTACTTCCCACCCTCTAGACCAAGAGGGGTCACTCAGCTGGTACCTGCACCACTGTTCGCGTTGTTGCATCTGCTCCACCATCTCATTGCAAATTTCATCACGAAGCTGCATCTCCAGCTGCAACTTTTCCTGCCGTTCTTTCAAAAGCAGTGCTTTCATGGCTTCCACTACCTGTAGGAGGTCCTAGGAGGTACATACAAATCAGAAGTCATCAGATGGCCATATCCCAAAAAGGCACAGGCCCACCTAGAAGGCAGCATGGGAAATGTGTAGCCATCAAGCTGCTGCACCAAAGCTTTCTTACATCCCCACCTCTTTGCCATACATGGAGATGTCAGCTTCATTTTCAATGTCATCATCAAGACCTAGGTCTGTCTTAGTTCCTGTCTCTAAGCTGGGAGATGCTTGTAGACTGTGTTCCTTGATGAATGAATGTAGTGATGGGAATCCCAGTTGCACAGGTGGAGCATGCACAAGCTAGCAGGGGAAAAAAATCTTAATTGAATCCATAACTAGCTCCTAGTAGCATTCATAAATAAAAGTACCAGTCCAAAGTGAGTACAACCATCACATGTACACTACAGCTTCTTACCTGGCTGGCAATGGCTGAGAACTTAGCCACATGAAGGGTCTCATCATAGGTAGACGCACAGGGATTTACATTGACAATCATGCAGGAACGACCTCGGCCCGTGAAGAAGCCTTGGAACACTCGAGTCAACTTGCTGTCACGGAAAGGAACCAGATTCTGTTTTGACCTGGCAGGGAATCAGAATAGGGCTATGAGCAGAATTCCACCCCTTGGGATATCCTAGCACCATCCTCAGTGACCAGGAAGTTTCTTAGTAAATTGCAGAACTCCAAGCCATCCCAGCCCACGGCTCACAGTCAGAAGCTCACCGGTTCTGCTGGTTTTGGCGCAGGGCAGAAATACAGCGGCCCAAAGTGTGCAGAGAAGTGTTAATGTTTCCTGCTTCCTTCAGCCGCTCACCATTCTTCTGATCTTTGCAGCGTTCTGAGCCAGCCAGATCACAGAGTGACAACCTTGAATGATGGACAGGATATGACATATGGGCCCATGTTATGAGCCTTCCATCCCCTCATATACTTCTGGGGAGGGGAAGAGAAGGATCCACCAAGAATCTCTCTACCCAAGGAAGGAGAACAAGAATCTAACAGAAGTGATTCCTCTGAGGGTCTCCCTTGCTCCCTCCCTCCACTACCATTTAAGGCCAAAAAGCCCAAATTCCTAAATAGAAAAACTTACTCGCTAATCTTGGGGACTATATCCCCTTCCCCTTGAAGGTGCAGGATCCGAATGGAGAAGATGCTGTGACTAAAGTTAATTTGAAGAAGAGAAAAGTCATTGCACATTTTCCATGCCTAGGTAGAAGATTAATATTTCCTGGAACACAGTGAAGACTTGACTCTCACAACCCACTCACCTGCGGCTGGAGTTCTGGTTCAGGTGGGTGCTGGCAAAGCTCTGGTTTTTACGACCCACTTTCAGGAGTTTCCAGGCCTCCTCAGCATCCTGAACATGAATCCAATTGAGATCTGAGGCCAAGGAGAGAAGGACATACATAAGGTGGGAGCACCTAACTCTTTCCTAGTTTCTCCCCAAATCCTCTCCAGGGTTCATGCCAGCCTTCCTGCTTTCCCATACCTTTCACGTAGGGATTGCCATTCTGGTCCTCACATAGCCGCAGAGTTTGCCTCTTGCGCTGCTGGCTAGGTGGTTCCAACAGGTCATAAAGCAGTTCATTGTAGATCTCAAAGAAGGAGATCCAGATGGAGAAGCGAATGTCCGCAGGGACACTTACAGGGGCAGTGTCTGGCTGTGCCCATCGGTGACTTGTTTCTGAGAAAGAAGCAAATATACAGGGTATCAACTCCAGAGAAGTCAATCTCCCCTTAGGCCTGCAAGGACCTTGGAAGGCAGAGCTCAGGTTGCAACCTCTGGTCTCTTGTTGGGAGCTCTGGCAGCTGTTGGGAGCAGGGAGTGGGTTCCTACTGTTACTTGGCATGGAGCCCAGTCATGGTACCTACCATCTAGCTGGCTACTGCTGGTGAACTGACTGGTGGAGGAAAGCCCAGCAATGCCACTGTCAAAGCTGGTGCTGGTACCTGTCCGACTTTCAATGTAGACACTCCTCTTTAAGGAGGTAGACAGCTCCTCCTGAGGGATCCAGGAAGAAAATAAGTACAAAACTTTGCAGAGATTTGTCCCCCTATCCTTGCCTCTGTGGACACTAACACTTTACCTCTTGGAGGCCTCCATTTAGCAGGACCAGTTTCTTCATTTCCTCCTGCCGGATCTGCTTGCTGTCAAGCCAGATTACCTCATTGGA